GGCTCCGGCGGCTCCACGCGCTCCCGCTGGAGTCGCCCCCAGGCTGGGCTGCAGCCTCGATCCTGGCCGAGGGAGCGGGAGCCGCTCCAAGTCCCTCCCTGCTCCGGTGCCGGCGAGATGGGAGGAGCAGCGGCCGCTGCCTGGGCAAACGCTCGCGGCGGAGCTGCTGACAACAGCGACGTTTATTTAACAGCACAGGAAAGAAGTGAGGAAGGAACATCTGCACGGGGACAGTAACAAGCAGCTTCTCCTACTTACATCAGAGGCGCTCGTTGTGTCCCGCACGCTCGTTGAGCCTAATACATCTGTACACAGACCAAGCACTGCACTGCAAACCTGCTTATTGCTGCACACACCCGAAGCCACCGCAGGAAAAGCCCGTACCTCAAAACACCTGCACTCCATTGCATTTAAAGAAAAGATTCAAAATAATAATAAAGAAAAAAGCACTAACATTAATGTGAATGTTGATAGAAATGTGGCAGTAACCGCTGACATTGCAACCTGACCAAGGGAAAGTTACAGCAGAAACGGGACATACTTTACCAAGCAATAATAAAAATGGCACATTTTAAATATATCTATATGTTCATATATATTTATATATATAAAAATTTTTACAAATAAATGTTAAAACAATACATCGTAGTGTTAAAAAGTGTAAAACAAGGTTTAGTGGTGATATGTAAAATTAACTGATTTGTTATGCATCTAAAGGAAGCAAAAAGCAAATTCGTATGATCCCTAATTAAAAGAACAGGAAATTCCAGAAAATATCAAATAAAGTTCTGACTGTAGGCTGCACATTAAAAAGAACCTTTATTTTATGTGCACAGAAATCATAGCAGCAAGCTGGTATCAGGAGAACAATCTGAAGGTTGTTGAGTGTACATATGGGCCAGTTAAAGCTCTCTTGGAATAAACATTTTCCAGGAAGTGATAAAATGATGCTCTGTGGCCAAAAGCATCAGAACTATGAATTTCATAGATTTAAAATATACTGTACAATATCTTCTCACATTTCCATAGGTCAGGTCCATACATCTCAGGCATGAATTGTTTCAACAGAAGCCGTTAGTGCTGAAAGACAGACATAGATTAAGTTACTCTATTTTAGGAACAACAGAATATTGTATAAAGTAACTCCTGGGATTACATAAGGCAAGGAATTTCTGACCTCACCCTAGCAATAGTTATCAACAGCGTAGAACATATTAAATTATAAAGTATCTTAGAAAATATGCTGTTTCGAAAATAATTTCTGATGAGTAATACGGCCATCAAAATACTTTGACAGCAAGAAATAAAACTTTTTTTTCTTGGAAAATTTATGCATTTTTGTACAAACCCCCCCGCTGACTCCGAGTTCTACACCCTCGTGTGCCTCACATGAGCTCGGGAACAGCCGGGCCCCGGTGGCTTCGCCAG